TGGAGGAAGAGGAAACAGACAACACAGGAAAAGATACACCATTATCTATTCTGGGAAAGAAAAGCAGGAAAAAGTGAAGCCAGGAAGGGAAAGAAGTAGTAAAATTACATTTAAAAAAATAGTTAAATAGAAAGTAGACTGACAATTTCACAACTAAATACAGCACCCAGCAGATGATATACAAGTGCTTTAAATTGCATGGGGCATGACAACAAAGGTATTTTTCACCCTAACTAATAGGATAAATCTGCGAGATATTAGGGGTCAAGTACATTTTCTGACATAAAGTGAGATGGTGACAGAAATGGAACTCTTAACCCATTATGGTTAATTCATGAAACCCAGTTTCTAAAGTTCAGAAAAACTAGGTGTGGGACCTACCTTTAGAGCAGAACTCTGTCAGTATTAGTGACCCCAGGCCATGCAAGGTTTGTATTGCTGCAAGTGGCTATGTCAGCAGAAAGCTGAATTCCCTCCAGATGGTCTAACAGAGTGAAATGTCAGTGTTTTTTACTACTTGAGCCATAGCTTTATTTATTACAGCAGAACATTGAAGAAAGATAATTGTAAGCATTTACACAGATTTATTCTTGGGTTATAAAATTGTTTCTCGCTGTGGTAAAAGAATTGTAGTCTTTCAGCAGGTGATAAGAGAATACTTAATGGGACTGCTAGCTGAACAAAAACTAATTTATTTTTTTCCAAATGAGGAATTTTACAGCCCAATACTACAGGGGAAGTTACTGTTCTTTGGGATTTGTTCTATGGCAACCCAGATCGCCTAATGAAATTCAAGACTATCTACAGATGTTCAGTTTCTAGCATAAAAATCAAATATAAATTTTGTCCTGCACATGTAACAGATTCATGCCAGAGTTAGGCAAACTGCAAATACGAAATCTAACATTGGGTTCAGTGGTTCCTGTTAGGCACAGACCTTTCTTGAGGGTGGTGTGGAGCAGCATCACCCCCAGGAGAGCATTGAAGGATGCCACTTTGCTCAAAATGGTGTTCGCGGCACAGTGTGAACGTGCACACATCATACATGCAGCGAGGTCTTGCTTTGTGGAGCAAAATAGCGTCCTCTGCACGCTAGAGATTTCCGCGACCCCATCTGCTGATGTGACACCATTTGGGAGTCATGACCCACTGTTTTGGAGCCACTAACATATTGTGTCAAATACAGTTACAGCTTTACGTAGAGTGGCTGATCCCTTCCCTTATACTTCCTGTAGAGTAGGCAGGGAAATAGTGATTTACAGATCTCCCATTAGGAAATCTGTTAGAAATCCAGTTTAAATCTCTTCTGGCATTAAACTGATATTCACCAAAAAAAAAAAACCACACAAAAAAACCAATCCTTGAAATATATCCAGCCCTGCAGCAACTGCCTCCCAGCTATCAGGGACGCTGCGGGGCACCTCCAGAATGAAAGAATTTCCATCAATTGTTTCTTATATTCTGTTCTAATCTGGGAGGACACTGGGAAGAGAGAGTTGATTGTCTTCAAATCCCATGTCCACTCACTCTGAAAACTGTAGCAGATGGTTCAAAGCCTGATTCTCTATTGCCTTACACCTATGGGATAAGTGGGCTGTGTGGAGTCACATCAGAGATGGATTTTGCTGTCCTGGTCTTCGGAGTGCTCATTCTTCTCTTTCTGCTTGTTCAACAGTTTTTATGTCTCAGTTTTGGAGACAAAATTGTTGTATTGGACCCTCTACTCCATGGGGGTAGAGCACTGCTAAATCAGTAATTTCTTCCAGGGCCTCTCATTATTTTTATTGTGGTAGCATCTAAAGACCCCAGCCCTCTTGTGCTAGGCGCTGTATATGCACAAAAAAGACAGTCCCTGCCCAACGAGCTTACAATCCAAGTAAAAGATGTGACAATATGGGGTTGATACTGGCTAGCTCTTCTTTCTTGATTTGTACAATAAGGCAGAGACTGAGGATAAAGTACTGTTTGACACTTGAATAAAGGATTTCTTTTTCAGCTTTGGCTGGTAACAGAAATTTTGTCCTTATCATGGTTTAGCTGCAAGATTCAGATTCACAGCTTCCCCTGCCTTACTGCCACCAGAATTTCTCATTAAGTCTCAGTCTTCTAAGTCTTACAATGTAACTCAAACACAGATTTGCATGAGGAATCAAGTGTAAGCCCCTTTTTTCTAATGGAACCACAGTCAGCCTTGCACTCGTGTTGCATTGGCAGCTTGGAAATCTTAGAAGAGAGCATCGTCGTTGATTTCAGAAGTTCTCTGCTAATATTTTCAGACTACAGGTATTAGTTCCATGTCCTTTCCCCTCTCTCTTCTGCCCCCAGTTTCTCAGTTTTATTCTCCATTTCTTCCAGATGTCTGTTCCACTTGGCTATCTCAAAGACCTTACACTCAATTTGATGACATGTATCTGTATGTATGTAATGCAATAACTTTTGAACGGCACATTTGATCAATTCCAAAATTTCACGGACTATTCTAGACATCAGTGGCCAGAATCTTATTGAGTTGGGGGGTGGGGTAGGGGGGGTCAGAGAGCAGGGCTCTAGAGCCTGTTGTAAAACTAAGCAAATAAGATGACTTGACGTACCTCCTGGAAGACCTCTGAATACCCCCACGGTATGCATACCCCTGGTTGAGAACCACTGAGTTAGACGATAGGATGGACTGACATTCTGTTCAGTAGAGGGCAGTATTATACATACGTATTAGCCTTTTATGTGAGTGTGTCCTCAGTCTGTAGAGATGGCTAAGGGAATAATTTAGTTTCAGATTCTAACTTGCGTAGATTTTGGTTGCAGTTGATGAGAAGTTGAGGTCTTAGCCCCCTCTTCCCTCCAAAATACAGATGTCTTCTGTGGATGAGAATATGAACTACAATTTTCTCTTGAGAATGTTTAAATTATTCTGATAAAGGATCCGTTCAACAGAAATGTAAAGGATTACAGTGCAACAGTGTAAAGAGTGACATGTAGTGTTACATGGAAAACTCTTCAACATTTTGCAGAATCAGTATTTTACTGCACTTAACTGACTTAAGAGGAACTGAAAAAGTGAAAAGGCCTTAAAAAAATGAACACTAACAAAGTTTATAATAAGAATATGCTGACGTATGTCATTGTTAGAATTGTTTTGACAGATTGGTCTAAATTGTGCTCTCCCTTGCAGCTCAGTGGGATTCCGGGGGTACAAGTGAGGGCAAAATTTTGTGCATTAAGTATAAATATTTAATAAATTCAGCCTGTTTTGAACTTTGGGGATTTTTAAGGCTATTTTATCTATCAAGCTTGTGATTTGTCAGGTGAACAAATGTTCTTAGAAAACAGAATGAAAAACTGCCATTTAAAAAAAAATCAATATTTTTAATACTGCTACCTCAAGGTGTATGTTGTTTTTTCATGAGAATTTTAATTATAAAATAAAAAATTCTTTAGGTGAGTGAATCTATATTAGATGTTCTTATACTCCTCTATTATTATACTTTTTATTTAAACAGTAGTGCATTCTTATATATTAATTTTATTAAACTCACTTCTGATCTTTGGAAAACAATGTATTTCTAGGTGGTTTTCAGCTAGGAGCAGGGTGGGTTGATTTAAATCAAAGCAATTGAAATCACCAATTTCAATCGTGATTGAAATCAGCAAGTAGAAAGTCTTGACGTAAATAATTGATTTTAATTGAGTTTTGCATTTGTACTTTAGTTACACCTCTATCTCGATATAACGCGACCCAATATAACACAAATTCGGATATAATGCAGTAAAGCAGCGCTCCGGGGGGGGCGGAGCAAGTTTGATATAACGCGGTTTCACTATAATGCGGTAAGATTTTTTGGCTCCTGAGGACAGCGTTATATTGGGGTAGAGGTGTATTTTCCTGAAGAAAGGTTGATTGTCATTGGTTAAAAACTATTAAAACATGTTGATTTGCAACTAAATATTGCCTTTACACTAAATTTGGTGTATCTTTTTGCTAACCAGCGATATATATAAGCAGCGATAGAGCTTAACTTACATTTATTCAGCTTCTTAATTTTTACATTTTTACTATGTTAGAAAATGGTGAATGATGCATTTCTTATTTACTAGATGACTAATTTTTTACTTGCAATTTATATCAAATTCTGTTTGGATGGAAATTCAAATTCAATTGAAATGCACAAAAAAGCATTTAAATTTTTTTATTATTATTAAATAAATCTGCCTTAAATGTGCTGGATACATAAGAAGAAAAAAGTTGATCAAAATGTTATCAAAACATTTTTTGCATTTAAAACTGACTGATTTATTAAACAAAGGCAATATTATCTGTAGTAAGTGAATTGAACTGGTTGTTTCTGGTCACTATGTCCTTCAGGATTTTAGAACTGGTGGATCTCATCTTCTCACCTCTAGTTTTTATTCATAGATTGAGAGAGGAAAACAGGCTCTCCTGCTTCTTCAATTCCCAATTGGTTTCTTAACTTTGAATGGACTAATCATTGAACTGAATTAGTTGAATAAACTGCAATAAGAAAATATTCTGGCTGCATCTGCAGAAGAGGCTACTGCTGTCAAAAGCTGGTTTAGCATTTCAACAAACTCTGGTTCCAGGTGCTTAGCCAGTGACTTCCCCCAGCCCACTGGCATGGTTTTCTTTAAAACTTGGCAGCAAACATGTACTGCTTCATGTTATTTTATATTTACTTTAAATAATTTAATAGATGATCATAAGATCATGTGTTGTCAATTTCAAATTTAATTATAAATTGGTGTATTTTTAAAAATAACCCTGTATTTAATTAAATAAAAAAATCAATATTTTAAAATTTATTTTTAACTCATAGATTTTTATCTACTCTGGCTAGAAGCAGCCATAGACGTAAGCAGGCAAATGACCGTAGCTGTTTCTTTTTTTTCTTTTCTTTTTTTTTAAGTCAAGTCCTTTGTAAGTCTGCACATGACATTAAGCCACAGTGAGTACAAGCTACTTGATATTCATATCGTAATGTGACAATTGTATGTAGTTCACAGGTGATGGGACAAACTATAAAATTCCTCTACTTTTTTATATATTCTTTTTCATATTACGTGCATCCTACATTCTTTCCTTTGGCTAGTGGAAAAGAGGTAAATTGATGTTAGTTTGGCCCTATTGGAGGCAGATCCTCAGATTATGTACATGAGAAGTCCCAACGAATGCAATCACATGAATAAGAATACGCATATGAGTACTTGCTGGCTCAGGGCCTCGGTTTTTACAGCCTTTAACAGTTTAGGCCCCGAGTAATGTTTTCAAAAGCACTTACGTGCCTAAAATCCTGTGAAAGCTAATGGGATTTAGGCACCCCAGTCACTGAGAGCCTTTTGAAAATGTTACAGCCTGTCTGTATTTGAGATCTCTTTCTGGTTATTCACTACACTCTGAGACCTCTCCAGCTCTTGGGGATCCCACTGTTACATTTCAGGTTGGCTGGTGGCAGCGCTCTTACTAGTAGTGGGGTGTTGCGGTGTGGAACTTGCTCGCTTCTGACTTTTGTCTCTCTACACTTTTAAAAATTATCTCAAGATATTTATTTCAAAGGGGTTTTTATTATCCTCACCGCTGGTTCTGTGCTCATTACTTCCTCCTTCTGTCTGTACTGGGCCCATCTAAAGTGCTTTTTACCTGCTTGATTTTTAAATGATGTCTGTATTTGAATTTTTCTTCATATTCTGTATAGCACTCTGAGCACCTGGGGGTTGTTAAATAAAATGTATTATTCTTATTTTGTCTTTCAGATATCACTGCTGATTGGATTCATCTGTGTAAAGAATTCAGCGTGGATAAATTACAGTGCATCCATCTACTTTGAAATTGTCACCATGTGTGACTTGATTATGATTCTTGTCTTTTATTTTGTCTACCTTTTCAGAGCGTACAGAATGCTCACCTGTATTAGTTGGCCACTTGCGGTAAGTGACATTGGTGGGATTGCTACCCCGCACCGCTCATGCACTAACCTCTTTAGTTACTCTATCTGGTTACTTGTGGTTTTCTCTGTTTCCCTCTCTTCTTGTCCTTCATGAATCCTTTGACCAGTCACTTCATCTTTCATCCTGCCTGCTGAACTGGAGCATGCTGGCACTCTCCCACATTCCTTGAGCCTGATTCTACTCTCTCTTTCACCAGTATACACTGGAACTAACTTATTTGAAGGCAACAGAGTTACTTTGATGCAGATGAGAGAAAATTAGAGATCTTCATGTCCAGTGCTCTTCTTAAGTTAGCATTGAGCAGATGGGCCCTGAGTCAAGAAACATTTTAAAGTTAAGGATGAGTGTAAGTTAAACACGTGCATAATTGTTGTCCTGTATACAGATGCTGTGGAGCCCATCTCATGGGATAAGGAAGCTTTACTTCCTGGAGGGCAGAGTAATTGACAAGCTACAGATGGCCCATTTTAAGACATGCTGGAAAAAAAAGTCTCTGGGTGTGTGGGGGGTTGTGTTTGTTTGGTATTTACTGTGCATTTGTTTCCGGTTTTAAAACTTCTTCTAAACTATGTGGTGTTTTTGGAGCTGATCTCCAGTTCTTCCTTGTTCCTTGGCAAGATTTATTTCAGCAACTTGCATAGTTACTGTCCTGTTACTTGTGCTTCCAATTGCTGAGCTGCATTGCTTTTTCTGCTATTATCTCAAGTACTGGAGGGACTGATGACACTTGCAGGAGACAGGGTGAGGGGACAAGTGCACCATAATCATCATCATCATACACTTCTATACCCCAGTCTTCATCCACAGACCTCTGCAAAGGTGGGTGAGCCTCATTATTATAGAGAGAGAAAAGCTGAGGTCCAGACTGGTTACGTGACTTGCCCCAGATCTCACACACATTAGTATCAGAGCTGAACCCAGATCTGACCATTCTGCCACATGGATTGCATGCCAGTTACAAACTTTTCTGTTTTTTTTTCACCTTACTCTGAAAAGTGGTAGCAACTCCTCCTCTGCAGAGCTGTCTGACAACTGGGGTGTAATTTTCAGGAAAATCTCTCAACTTTTTTCATCAAAACTTGAAATTTCTATGAAAAATTCTATCAGATTGTGAGTTGTGACATGTCTGACCAGCTCTACTGACCATGCCTGCAGCTATGGGAAAAGGAAAGCTTCACATCAGAAATACAGTTATTCCGTGGGATTATTTCCTATGCCATCATTCCCTTTCACTAGCTATTTTCTTCTATTTTCCTCTTCGCTTTATTTCCCTCTAACCATTCTCTTTCCTTCAAAATCTTCCATACTATTGATGTGTTATTTTACACTCCTTTCCTCCCCCAAAGTAATGTACTGTTGGTTGTTGGTGCAGATTCATTATTTGTTGTTGTTTTTATCAGAAATTGCAGTGTTTATGAAATGTAGCATAACAAATGAATGGGTCACCAGTCTGTAGCAATCATGAGCCATGTCCAAAACCCCAGGTCTGGAGATGCTCATGTTTACGAGATGTTTGAAATCTGAATTTTCCAGATGGCCACAACCTTAATAACTGATCAAATCTTGGATCCATATGCCTGCATATTACAAGATAGGCAAAATTCAGATCTGAATTTTGCAGCTGGGGCTCATGTTGAACTCTGTGATTATAACCTGATATTTTGTACATGGTTAACGCAAACAGGAAAAAGCTGTAAGCTTGTATTACAAATACTGGCTGACAGTGAATAGCTGATGAAATTGAAATCAGTGGCACCAGGATTTCACCCATTATATAGTGGAGTCTACATTCGATATTATACATCATTTTGGTTTTCAAACTCCACAAATTGCAGATAAATGCAAATGAAACACAAAGCTAAATACCACAGTTGTGATTATTTGGTTACTACATATAACATAACACTTATGTGAAAACAATCCTATTAGGAATTCTTAGATCTATTGTTAAATATAGCCAAGCGCTCCTGGGAGATTGTTGGGTATCCACTGAAATGCTAAGTCAAATGTATATCTACTACTACCCCACATGAGAATTTTGCCCTTTGAGTCTGTATAATGAGTATTACAAAGGGATCTTGCATTCTTATCATGTTAATTTCTGGAGAAAATCTAGGCAAGACTTCAATTTTCTTTCAAAGTATTTAGCCTGTTTCTACTTTGATATAACTTGTATTAGTCTTCGTAGATGTGGCAACTGCATCTTTCCTCTCATGTTCATTACACTGGACAGTTACAGGCCTGATTCTTCACTGCTGATCTGATTGTGAAAAATTGGTGCAAAATACCATCAGATCATAATGGTAGCATTTTCCATCCACTTTGCACATATGTTAGCAACTGGAGAAGATAGAGTAATGGGGAATTGGGGACGTTATGTTACAACTGCATGACTAGGAACTAGTTACACTACCTCATCATTGAATTAGAATTCATGTACTCCACCCTGTTCCAAATAGTCTACCATGCCGTACCAAGTCAAATATAGCCCTCAACTTTCCATCCCGCCCCACCGCCTGGCCATTCCTAGGATTTCCTGTAGGATGTTCCGGTCTCATCTCTTGGTTTTCCATGGCAGAGGGTCATGTCCACCTCGTTTATCCTTGTGGAATTAACACACTGTACAAACTGCAGTGAGTCAGCAGAACGTACTTAGCGGCTTTACACAGGGCTCTAACTGCCACTAGCAGGTCAATCAACAGATGAGTCCTGCATCCTTGGGCGAGATCCTAGATCTTGCCACTCTGTTACAACATGCCTTCATTAAGCCTATTGACATATTAATCTGTCTCAGAATTAATTAAAAGGGGGGAAATCCTGCCAGGAAATGTTGAAATTAAAGAAGGAGTTAGACTGTTTTTGATGCAAATTCTATACATAATTCGCTAGACTGATGTAAAATTAAGGAATGTGCACATACTCCTTTCTTGTTGTAGATCAGCATTAATTTTACATCTTCCCCCCCTTTTTATTAAAGAATATATTTAGAATTGCAATCCTTCCCCCCACCCTCCAAAAAATGCACCTCCCAACTATTCAGGCCTCTTCTGTTTTTGCCTAAAGATAAATGTTACAGGTGTGGATTGTATGAGAGACCAGTTCAACCTAAATGTTCAAAAGTGACTAGTGACTTTGGGTGACCCAATTTGTGGGTGACTAATTTGAGATACCTTAAAGGAGACTGATTCCCTTGAAAGTGCTGAGAACCCCTTCTCTGAAAACCAGCTGAGTCAGTCACCAGTTGAGTATCCAGAACTGACTCGTAAAAGTTACTAGAGAATTTTGAAGTGTAGGCCAAAGTTCATGTTTAATTTCTCTGTCTCTCAGTATTGTGATTACAGAAGGACCTGAACCTAAATTCTGGATCTGTATAGCCCCCAAACTTCATGGGGATTTAAAATCCACACCGACATCCAAATCTTGCAAGTGGCCCATGGTTTTTACAATGAACCAAACCAAACTCCTGGATTCAAAGCCTTCATACATGGGAAGTGCTTAAAATCCTGATCCAAATATTGTCACTTGGGCTTATCTCTCATTATAACCAGTGTCCTCTCAAGATATCATGTTCTATTGCACATAGATCACCTGATTAAAAGACTGTATGAATTTTCATATCTTAGACTTTTGTTTAAAAAATTGTGTGTTGGGGGAAGCATATTAGATTTTGTTGGCTGCAGTTTCCCGAACATGATTTAGTTCCTTCAGCCAGGAAGAGAGAGACTCCTAAACAAGAAGAATTTCCCTCCAAAATACAGTTGCACATGTTCCGATCTCCAGAAAGAATCCAGTTCTGCTCCACAGAACTCATAAATAGTGATCAAGAGTTCAAAGAAGCTAAGGTAGAATGGAAGAAGGAGGAAAAGGCACAAATAGCAGCATGACAGTTTGCAGTACTGATATAGAGAGCAGAGTTGGGAGGAGTGTTTTTCTGTGTTTGTGAAGTGAATGAGATTTCACATATGTTCAGGGCTTGAGAAAAGTGTAAAGAGAAACTGGAATTTCCATCCTATGGGAAATTCTAACATATTTTAAATGTTGTTTTTGTTCTGAATTGGAATGAAAAGCTGAAATTTCCAGCAAAAAAAAAAAATCTGATAAATATAGGTTCAAACTTATCACAACATTTTGTTTTGATAATATCTAATTGTTTAGATAATGATAAAATATTATAATATAAACCATACGTGTATATATGATAAAATATATTGTGTATATATTATAATAAAATTAATATTTTGATATAATATAAAAGCCCACATGAAATTAATTGAAACAGTAGAGTTAAAACAAATCATTGTACCTTATCAAAATGAAATGTTTTGACATTATTCATAGTGAGAAAGGTGAAACGACTTGTTTTAACTTTTTCTCATCTAAAATGCCATTGAAATTTTCCTGCAAAATGCTTCAATTCTGACAAAAATGAGTTGGGGGAGGGGAGGAGGATGGGAGAAGACTGTCATAAAAAATGTTTCAATTTAGCTCTAGGATTTAGCTGCTCTTCTGCCACATACAATGTACACTCTGCTGGAGAGATTTTTTCGAAACTTGACATTAGATATGTGGAAACTTGTTTGTTTGGGAGGTGGGTGTCTGGTTTTGTGGGTCTTGTCCTATGTCCAGTTGTGTTTGCTCTAGATCAAGCAAAATTTAGCTCTGTTAAAGACCTTATGGGGTCATGGGGGGGCGAAGCATGTTCTTCTGTTTACCCCTACACATCTGACCAACCACATCCTGAAACCTAATTCTGTTTCCTTCCCCCCGCTGAGCTGCTCTGAAACATGCCACCACAGCCAGCCTGCCTTTTGTCTACCTGCTTGTTGGTTTGTTTAAATGCTTTTCTGATAAGTTTCCCTTCTAAACTGTGCTATGTTTGTATTTTCAGGAATTTCTCCATTATTTAATTGGTACGCTCCTGCTTCTCATTGCCTCTATTGTGGCAACGTCAAAAAGCCATAGTTCAGCAGGACTCGTAGCTGGAGCGGTAAGGCTGTTTATTAGATCACAGTGTTTACTAGTCCTGACACTTTGTTACTCTGTTTACTATGCATTAGGAATTCATTGCTTGAAGCTTTATTTTCTTTACAATTATGTCTTGTTTGGTCTCGGTGGGTATACTGTCTTTTGGCTTGTTTCAATTAACATACCATAACTACACACACAAAAAAATTGATTACTGTGGGATTCCAGCCCCCTACATTGGGGGAGATGAGACATGTTAAAGAGGTAAAACACAAGACTCTAGGTGCTGCAAAACACAAAGAACCAATTGGTTTTGGTGAAGGATTAAGTAACTTTACTTCACTACAAAACACGGCAGTTTGTCAAATTAGCAACAAAACTTTTCATGAGCACAGCATCTCAATGCTCTGCTCATTGCATTTGCTCCCCACTTAACAGAGTCCAGTTCAAGGTCTGTGTCATGAGAACTAAAGCCCGCCATGGGATTGGCCCTAGCTACCTCTGAAGTCACCTCTGCCTCCCCAGTCATGAACTTCCATAGGGACTGATTTGGGGAGACTCCTATATATGGGAAATTGAATTTTGATGGGAATGGGATTTAGACTGTGGCACTCACTCCACCAAGGCCCAGATCCTCAGAGGTATTTAGGTTCCTAAATATTTTTGAGGCTCTGGGCCTAAATGTATAATTCATCTCTTTGACTCAGCTTTCCCTTGAGTAAATGATTTACATTTACACACATTATAGAAATCTTAAAAATGAATCAAGCTACAGGCAGCAAAGGAAAAAAGAGCGAGATTGTTGTTTGTTTCTGTTTTTAAATACTTGGGAGGTATTAGCATTCAGCAAACTTTTGGGTGTACAGAGATCCTGCATGAGATCTATGTACCATTTAAAGCCTTCGTAAACTCTAATTTGTGGGCTTAAGTGATTCATATGCTTCATGCAGGCACGGGGGTGGGGGAATTTCTCCATCAATGAATAAATAATTATGGAAATTGAATGTATGGGACACTCTACAGTGTTGATAACTGAAGACACTTTCTTTTTACATATACTGTTTCTTTTAACAGACATTTGGTTTCCTAGCTACATTCCTTTGCGCTTTGAGCATATGGTTATCCTACAAGATCTCATGTATTACTCAGTCAACGGGTAAGTATCAAATGTTAATACTAGGCAGAATACTTCACAAATGGAATATTTACATTTTCCATGGCAGAGTTTGTATGAAAGGATTTATTAATGTTCTGTATCTTGTAGCTCAATACATTGACAACACAGTACTTTAGCATGGTCAATTGACACAGTAACTTATTAACAGCTAACAATAACAACAACATAATCTACATGTAATAATCAGTAAATACTCCATTTCCTCGTACCCCCAAAAAGAGTTCATAGTGGCTTCCTGCATGTATTTTAATCAAATAAATTAATTTGCCTGTGGCAAACCAAACTGACTCTGACTTCCTTTTTAAAGATGCAGCTGTATGACTGTTTGGCCACTGCAAGATGTTTGTGCCTTTCTAAAAGGGATATCAAAGAAGAGGGTCCACCATGTGCCATGAGGAGAGAGTTGACATTTGTGTTATTGGATTATATACAGTAGATTTGAAGATTTACTTGAACATCTTATGCAAGGAGAGAAACAACCAATGTTGGAACCAAAGAAGTTGGTGTCAAAACAGTTTGATGGAGAAATTGTTTTTTCTGAGCTTTAGAGAAGTGCTTTTTCTGTCTCGTGAGCTGGTCTGTGGCTCCCAGTTACATGCAATGAGAATATTCAAACCTCCTTTGGAGAGTTGTTTAATTAGGATCTGTATAATTTTAAAGATGGAAAGATTTTCTGATTTCCTCCATGTATTTGCAGAAGGGAAATTCTGCAAATTCACCTCTGATTATTAATCTTCAAGGATAATTCCTCTAACAAACCAACTCTTGCACACCAGTCTTTGCCTGGGAAACCTGCCTTAAGTTCTCTTTTACTTTCTCTTTCGTTGTCATTGATATTTTTACATCTGTTTGGCCAGCATCAGAAAATACTTTTTCAGGAACTATGTCTTGGACAACTCACTGTGAATGCTCCCTTCTAACCGCAAATGTAAACTGAGTTTTCTAGATGCCAAAATAATTAATTCTGTTCCTACATTTTTTAATATACAGTCATTTATAACCCCCCAGAAAACTCTTTTCTCTGTACTGTACAATAGGTATGGAAGAACATATGCTTAGTGGTGCACTAGGTCTGTTGCTTTCCTCCTCATATATATGTATTTGCATATTTCCATTCTCCCTTCCACAGAAATAACCCATGGAGAGGGAAACTGAGTTTCCCAGAAATTATTCTCTCGGGGGGAGGGAGAAGGGGGGGAGGGAGAGTGTGCGTGAGTGCCTGCGTGCATTTCCCCTAGAGTAGAACCATCTGGCTCCTCCTACTTAACCTACAATCTGTATGGATGCCCCTTATCTCTGCTCTGTTAGAGCTGTTCTTTCAGGGACACTGTGTCTAGTGTGGTTGTTCCTGGATTCCTCCTAAAGTGGGGTTTCAGAGCAGGAAGAGGGAAACGGTGCCAGTTAATGCAACCTAATTCTGCACTTACCCTTTTCTGTTCCCCTCTGCAGTTCTGGAGATGAGCAAATCCAGAGCTCCCCCGCCCTGCCCTTTTCCTAATCTATCTCCACAGAGCCAGAAATTCCCAGAGCCCTTTTCAAGAAAAGGGGAAGTGTGGCAGAGCTCTCCTCTTCCTGAGTTTGTAAATGAAATTGTGACAGACCTAATTTTGATATTTGTATTAGAAAATTATTCCAGTGTAAATCTGGCTAATGAAACAGCCAGGGGTAAATGTGCCTTAAATGTTACAGATTTTTAACAACATCCCACTCTGGCCTGCCTTTGTGCCTTACAGCTGTGTCTGGTATTTGTTCTGTTCACTGCAGATAGGATGTCTTTTTTTTTTTTTTTTAATTGTGTGAATTTAGTGCTCAAGAATAGTGCTGCCGCTCAGGAGAACTTATCTACAGCCCACAGGTAGTAAGGGCGCATGCTTCCTTGCTGTGCCCTGCCAGTACACCTCAGCCATGACTGGGCAGGTCTGAGAAGAGTTCATTCTCTGTGCCTGCTCTGCTGAAAATGCCAACACCAGGGCTGATGCTATGTGTGATCATACTCACTCACTGACTAAACCCCCCTGAGTAATTTTACTTTTGGTGGCTGGTCACTGATCATGATTTGGATTAGGGCCCTAGAGGTTTAAGGGCAGATTTCTTCCAGGCCCAGAAGATGAGTACACCTCTACCCTGATATAACACGAATTCAGATATAACGTAGTAAAGCAGCGCTCCGGGGGGGTGGGACTGTGCACTCCGGCGGATCAAAGCAAGTTCGATATAACGCGGTTTCACCTAGAACGTGGTAAGATTTTTTTGGCTCCCAAGGACAGCGTTATATGGGGGTAGAAGTGTATGTAATAGCAGTGATATACTACTTCTCTTCCCCTCCTGTGAAGGGAATGCTCACTCAGTTACTATGACATTCCCCAGGCCCTCTCCCCCACCCAGCCACGTGGAAATGGACTTCTGACACAGCAAAGCTAACTACGCACTGTCCTACATATGCAGCTTCCACATCCTCACTGACTATAGTAGCCAAGCAGAATAGCCTGTAGACAAGCAGCGATTAGCCGAGAGTTCTAACAAGAAGCTGAGATTTCTCAGAACAAAGCTGGTTCCCACAGCTCTCAGTCCATTCATCTTTCCTAGGCAGCTTTCTTCCATACTGGAATCGTGTCTCTGACCCCTGTGCTGCATTGCCATTGGTGCCCCCCTCCCCTCCAGACACCTCCCCCTGCCACAGGTTGAAAAAATCCCCAACTAGGAGTTCAATGCCCCCTAAAGGCCATAGCATTTCTGGATATCATTCTGTGATGGCTTGAAATGTGTTTTCTGGAGAACTAATGGAAACTCCCCCTTTGGCTTGCATCTGTATGCAGAACAAAATGCTGTGAATTTGCTGTATAATTGAATAATATTGAATACAAGTGTTTAAAAATGAATGATACATTTGTCTTGTAGAAGATAATGGCTTGAGAAGGCACCTTTGTGGTTAGAGGATGCCTATGCAGTTTGTGACAGCTTAATTCTCCTTTTAATTGCTTTAAAATTGTCAGTTTTTCATTGCGCACCTTTCAAATAGTGGTTGTATGTGTTCTGTAAAAGCAGTTGAGAAACATTCTTCAAAAAAGGGCTGAGAGGAGGAGCAGCAGATTACTGTGTCAAACGTGCACCCTCTACGAGCAAATCACTATGCGAGTGTAGTTGGTATGCTGCCTCTGACAAAGACGACTAGGAGAATTCTAGAGCTGATACCAAACAATGGTAGCTGATGCAGATACTGTGAGGGAAGGATTTTCAGCAGGGTGCAGAAACACATTGCTCACTACAGAATTCCAACTTGAGCACAGGAGGGGGTCTCCTTTAACTGTCACCTGTCATAACTATGGTAATGAAGATGCTAACAAATATTAACAGTCATCAAGTTGTTGCACACCTGAAAGAGCAACAAGATAGAGCTGGAGAAGTGCTTCTTTTTAGCCTCTCATCCATTATTTTCATATTTCAATCCTCTTTCCTTCTGAGTATACATTCTGCTAAAGCCAAAGGAAAATATTATGAATTGTAACCTGAGCCTGAGGAAGGTGGCATCAATTTGCAGCTGAATCACATAGCTTAAGATGAAGTATTTAATGCTCAGACTGATAGTCTCCATAGCCCATACAGGAGGAAAGCTGCAGCCTAGTCTATTTATACTTAAGGAGCTTCAGGCTTTATGCTCTGTCAAGGTGATAATGCAACTCTCAGCTGGGTAAAGTAGGGCCATCCTGCTCTAAGATGTATATACCACCGTTTGAGGTGACAATCAATCTGCATGACTTATACATACTGCTGTCGATGTTCTTCTGGTTAAAGCTTAGCACACTCTTTTGGTACCTGTCTCCTGTTGTCCCTTTTAGGCATATCAGGGTGCTGGGCTATATTTCCACTTAAACTATCAGGAACTGTCATCAAGTGGAGGTCTCACCCTCAGCGCACTTTGCTTTAGGTCCCACCTCAGAGCCTCTGTTGGTTCCCAGTACCCTCAAGCTGAATGGTGGCCCACGGAGTGCGGGAGCCAGGGTGGTGTAACTCTTGCAGGGTTACAGCTGTGCTAGAAGAAAAGCAGTGAGGGATTCCTTTGTATAGGAACAATGTAATAAAAACCTTATCAGTGACCTGTGAGTTGGCCAAGAGGAATGTCAGGCGCTGGCTGCCCAAAGTACAAGAACCAAGTGGGCCATTCACCCCAGCAATGAAGTTCAAAAAGGGTCTGGTGGTCCTGTACACCGGCTCTTCTTCAGGATGTGCACTACATCACACTTTTTTTTTCTTTGCATGAAACCTTTGCCATGGGCTGATTCACATTTCCTACTGTTATTGTGTCAGTAATTGTTTCTTTGGCTGCAACAGCTGAACCACTGAAGGACCAGATTGCCTCTTTACGTTTGTGGGTTTAGTACAGTTTATCTGCCTTACACACAGCACTTCACTCGGGTCTCACAGCCTGGCACCGTTAAAGCTAACAAGCCTGTAGGCCTTTCATGGAGAGGGGGCCTATTTGAGCCTTGAGCACCCATCACCAACTGCTGTTAGCAGTATATCAATGATCGAGAAGAGCTCAGCACACTGGAACAGAAGCTGGATAGTGTATGCCTATCTAAAGGCTCTGGCTACCAGCAAGAGACATTCTAAGGCTCTGTCTACGCTTAAAATGCTATAGCCTGGCAGCTGTGCACCTGTAGTGCAGGCACTTACTGCAGTACCGCATGTTAATCCACCTCCCCAAGAGGTGGTAGCTAGGTTGACAGAGGAATTCTCCTATCCACCTAGTGTGGTCTACAGCAGGGGTTAGGCTGACATAGCTACGTGCTCTCAGGCATGTGGATTTTTCACGCTGAGATGTAGCTATGCCAATGTGAGTTTAGACCAGCTCCGGTCCTCTACTCATGCATGGCTTTCTTCTTCATGAACCACGACCAAAACAAGCACACAGTGCTGAAGTTGTGGCAATTAAAGATATAGGGGTGGCAAAGAACTCCATTCATACCTGCTGTTCAGTAGTTTGTCAGACATGAGAGCTTTACAGTTAGGTCCAAACCCTATTAAACTAGGAACATCATTTTGTTGACTCATAAACAGACATTACTGAATAATGGTGGGGGGGCTTATCTCAAACTGAGTATCAATCACTCATTGC